GGCTATTAAATAACAGGGGATGGATACCAAGCTGCTATTCATCTGCATCTCTTCACGTTGATTTTACATCGATGAGTGTACGTATAAAGTATCCACGGACTATCCAGTACCACCGAATCCAGCAGATGTGGCAAGCCGACGCATCTTAAAGAGAAAAACATCACGTAAAGACATGACGTAAACATGCCAAGGTCCTGACCCGGGGAGGCCAAAGGTCAGTCCTTGTGAAATATATTTACGGGTATTGCTCGTTATGTCATCCCTGGTAACCAGCCGTGGGATGGGTGCAGTGGGGCAGACCTACAGCAGGACCACCAACACTACTCTCCAGGCTTCGACCTGTTTTGACGTGTTTTAGGCCTTTTTATCGGGCTGTCTTTTAATGCTGGTATCTTTGTTTTACCAGCATTGGATACTACCCTTCCAATGATATTCTCTTGCTGATTTGATACTGTATTGCAGCCACCGAAAGATCTGCTTGGAGATTCGGACAACACACCCAAACCATCCTATAAAAACCAAACCAAACTATCCAGCTACCGAACAGCATATACATATAAAAAATACTTCTAGACCAGGCTGCTAGAATTACTGTACCGTCACTACGAATAACGATTACAAGTGGATTCTACAGAAATGTACTGAAGAAGCTAGAGGCCCCATCATGATATCAGGAGGTGATGATTCCTACTATTCAGAAATGTTCAGCTGATGCCCACGCGCAGGACCTAGCAGATTCCTTATTCCTGGCACTGCCTTGAGGACGCTGGACATGTATCCCATATTCAATGTCTATCCAAGTGCGCTGTTTACCACAAAGTATCATCAATACTGACAGACAATAGTATCCATCACATTCATGTCCATCAGACCTACCCCTCCCAGAAAACGTCTGGAAACTGCTCCAATCAGCGGCTGCGGTAATGGGCCAATGACGCCATCTATCATCCTGTCGTGGCAGGACAGCTGTTTCCTTCCGCAGCCAAGTGGGGAGACCCTGTCTTGATCAGGACGATGTGTTTATTTTTAGGACATCCGTTTCACATTGATATGCCTGTGTGTTTGTCCGCCGGATAGGTAAGTAGTTCATGGTCGCAGTTAATTTTACATCGGGTGTAGAAAAGGACGTTTGGGCTGTGACAAACCGTGTGGAAAACGTGCTATACGATTTGAATTAATCGATTCTCTGTGAGATAAGCCTCGGTCACAACCCGCCGTACGTGCTTTTTGTCCGTACGTTTTTTGGGAGGCTACGTCTTCTACGTTTTTTCTGAAAACGTGGGGAAGGAGTGGCATCGACGCACGTCACTCGCACAGTTTCGCAAGGTGTAAGAGTCTGGTCTGCACGCCACGTCTGGCCGTGAGCGGTTGCGTGCATCGTACGTTGCGCAAGGGGTAAGTGAGTTGTACGTGCTTACAACGCACGATCTCTGTCCGATTGCAACTTTACCGTAAGGAGGCCGTACTCACACGTGCGTCTTTCGTTCGGTACGTACGGGGCACGCGCGTCGCCCGTACTCGCACGCACGGGTGGTGAATCCGTAGACCGCACGCAGAAAAAGTTTTACATGCACTTAAAGTTCTACGGCGTGTCAGCGTGCTCCCAAATCATTCGGATTCCGTACGGAGGCGGTACTCACCACCACGGATGCCCTGCGTTTGCCCACGTTTTTGCACGTAGACAGCACGCAGAAGCACGTACGGCGGGTTGTGACCGAAGCTATACCCTTCGTGCAAAACGTCCTAGTTTCCAAACAACGGCTTATAATTTCGAACGGCATGCATCACGTCAGCACCACAACGGAAAGTACAGGTTGAGGTGAGGATATTGTACCCATGATTTGTAACACAGCTAAAGAGACTCGCTGGGTGTGTG